ATTCCAATTAAAAATCGATTGTTGTATCCGCAGGCAGGGCAATATTCCAAATAAAAATTGATCTTTGAAAGAGTACTTATCGTAATCCACAAAAAGGGAAGAGCAGGTGACAGTAATCCCAACGAATGAGGTGTCCCAGCAGCCATGCCGGAACCACAGTCGTCCAAGGCCAACGAGCCGGAGCACCCTCAGGAGTAGTCGATGCAGATGACGAGTCACGGATCCACCCCCAGGACGCAGGATCCTCACAAGCTCAGCAGAGGAGAGAGAGCACAGTGTAGGCACTTCAATGTAGACACGACAAAAGTGCATTTCATGTCATCAAAGAAATAAAAATAATAAAAACCTAACTCTATGAGTGCCTTTTGTACTATGTGTTAGTTTTAAGTGTAATTACCCATTAAGTGAAGAAATGGATGCAGCCCTGACTGTGTAAGATGCAAAAAGGAATGATGCGAGAAGCAGAAAAATGAAAGAAACCCTAACTGGTATCAGTGAATCCTCACTGTAAATACTTGTGTCAGGACAGGGGCTAAATTGGTTATAGCCCCGCAGGATAAATCAAAGAATTGATAATCACAAACATAATTTTTCACTGTTAAAATCAACTGGTCAAAGGTACTATAAAAAAACAGAAATGTAAATCAGTACTAAAATGTAAATCAGTGGTTAGTAATCATGTTCATGTTAATGTACCCCTAAGAAATTGTGATTAGTAAAGATAAAAAAAAAAATGGCGAGCGTATCCAGAACATTTATATTTTCCACAATAGCTCGCCCACAGTGTCAACACACTGAGACGAAAAGTGTCCGAGAATTTAGTTTCGGTTCGGAGAATTTAGTTTTAATGTTAGGACTGAGGATAAGCTGCTCACGGTAGCCCACCCAGCAAGGTCCAGAGCGGAAATGTAGCTTTCCGACCTGAAGAGATTAGAGACGCGGCGGCGCGTCAAAATGGACAGAATTTAGTCAAAAGCACAACTCACACGTTCGCTCCGAAGGCGAAGATGGGATAAATCAAAGTTAGGTCTGTAATTTGCGGTCAATTTGAGATCGGAGATCTTCCCCGTCAAGTTTCCACCAGGACGTCTCCCGGAAGAGTGACTTCAGCGGAATAATTTCCGGTGTTTTTCAAAATAAGACATCAAAGTGAAACACAGAGAAAAGCGCTGTTTGTAGCTTTTAGATGTTAGAAATCAGATAAATCGCAGATATAGAAGTCTGGATACGCTCGCCATTAATGTAGCTTTTCATTATGGTTTGCGGCATGTAAACATGCTAGCGGAGTTAGCATTAGCATGTCGGTGCGGTAGCATTTTCCTCTCTCTGAAGTCTGAACTATAACCTTGAAATATTAACGGTGTGCTGCTGTTGCTGTCTTACCCTAATGTGATGTTGAGTGACTTACATGAGCGCTGAGCAGGGTTTGCTCAACGATATATAGGTTTTGCTGTTTCACCCCGCCCTCTGACTTGTCAACAAAGCTGCGGGAAGGGGAGGAAGTCCTTTCTTGATACTTCCTGTGTGCGACGGTGTAGTTCTATATTCATTAGGGTTCCAAGCCAAAAGGGCATTGGAACCCTATTGTTTTTCTACGGATTTGTTTTTCTACGGATTTTTCATTATTATTCTTCTCCGCTAATACTGTATGGGGGCAAGAGCCTGAAATTGCCAGGAAAAATCTGATATGGCAGTCTGATAGAAAATCCTGACCGCTACTCAGGTTCGAAAATTTGGACCCCGAGTCACCTAGGTGGCGCTATTGCGGAGGTGAATACGTTTGAGCTACTAGCTCCCAAACCATAGGCCCTACAGTCAAAAAGCTTTATATGGACATGATCCTTGGATGATTCTGCATCTTTTTTGTATTGGCCACGCCCATTTCCGCCTAACTAGATTTTTGGCTAGATCTCAAAAAACGCAAAACTTAGTTTTAATCACCTATTCGTCATTTTTCGTCGAATCAACTTCAACCTTTGAACATATGATCTATGGAGGAAGAGAAGTTGTTGTGATGAAGAAAAACGCGGAATTATTGAAAATTGGGTTAATGACACCATGTCAAATTCAGTGCGCTAGCTAGCACATGTCCTAATTGATTATATCTTCAACAATTTTCAAGATAAAATGATGAGACTCTAGACGCTTACAAAGTATGAGTGGTAAACTCTATCTACGCAATTTTGTTTGGATTCACCAATAGGGGGCACTAAAGATTCAAAAAGGTTATTTCAGCAAAACGGCTTGATGGAATTCCACAAAACTTGGCAGATATGTTTATCATTGGACCCTTACGCTATATTTCGAAAATGATTAAAAAGTGGACGTGGCTTATAGGCTATAAATAGGCTGTAAAAGTTTTCGCCCTTTTACTCATGAAAAATATATATTCTGTACAGAAAGTTACAAATCAAATCAGTCATAGTGACCTCTACAATCACAGAAAAAAATTAGAATTTTGTCCAATAGATGGCGTTGTTGTACCCCAAAAATGTTTATGGCATGTTTCTCCCCATTACATTCATAAAAAAACAAATGGTCTCATCCAGTATGTTCATTGATTCAGTCAAATTTAGTTGAGTATTTGAAAAAATAATTTAAACTTATGCTAATTAGTAGAAATTTGCATAGTAAGTCACACGTACTTTCGTTAACTCCTCCCGGCCGTCCAACACAATCACATCACTACTTTCCCTGACAAGAGAGGAGGAGCGGCTGACCAAACGATGTGAAGGGATTTGGGATAATTTGCTTATTTGTTTTTATATGATTTTTTAAAATAATTTTTGGGGAATGAAACTGTTTTTTTAGCATAACTTCTAAAGATTTTGACATTTTTCAAATCTATTCATAACCACCATACCTAAGGTCAATTCAAGTGGATATCTTCATTTTCAGCTAGATTCAACAATAGGGGGGGCTATAAATAGGAAGAAATTATACTGCTGAACTGGCTAAATTGATCTGCACGAAACTTAGTGGTTGTCATTATTATAGAGTCGTAAGACTACAGTATCAATACGGTAATGATTGATCAAAGTGGGCATGGTTTATGATCATTTAAATATTCAAATTTGAAAAATTTCCTAAAAAACATTATTTGCATGTAAGAGGCTAAGAGTTTCAGGTTGTGTTAACTGGGTAGGCTGGAGCTTATGTCACGTTCTGGTCAGAGTTGGGATCGATCCTTCAACCTTTTAGAGCCATTCCCATCTGTACCTGGTCGACCCTGCCCGGAGAGCTCCAGATGGCCCCAGCTTGGCCCGGTTGATTCCACACATCCTTGCTTAGGTATGCAAGGAATGCAGTCAGAGACATTTTTAGGTTCTAGGTAATCAGCATGATAATGAATGAGAATGAATTGAGCATGCCATAAGCCCATGTGGGTTGATCCTACCCACCAATCAGAGGCTTGCTCTAGTGGAAGGTGTGAATATGCTGTCAGCAGGGGGAGTGTTGGCCCTGGTCAGCCTGAAGCAGACCACCTCAGAAAGAGGGCTGAAAAACAGTGTCGGTGCACCCTAAAAATAGGACGGGATGCCGGCGGGAGAACGTGTCTTTGGGGCGGGGCTGCGTGAGGAGTGGGGAAGTTGAGGGCGGGGGCGGGTGGGTGGCTTGGAACCCGTTCATAACTGCTTGCAGTTCTAGTTAATTATTATTTCTGTTTCAGACTAAAAAACTCATGTACCAACTACACATGTCGTGATTGTGTTGAGCATGTAGATGTGAACAAATAAAAAAAAGTTAACTGAAAAACATAAAATAAACCAAAATGATAGCGGGGCTTGTGATTGTTTTAGGGGGGCTGAAGCCCCCCAAAACGGACCTAACGACGTCAGTGCTGCTTCCATACAATTTTTGAACCTTTTTAACTCCTTCAAATTTTATACTATTTCAACAATTTTATATCAAAACGTTCAGCTCGTTAAACTCTTTCTGACCATTACTTTTGGCATTGATATCTTTAAAAATTTAGAGTTATTAAGCTTTTTTCTGTGAAAAATTTCCAATTGAAATGAATGGGATTGGTCAATTTTTAGCAAATTCCTATCACTTTTTTGACCTAAAACTCTATTGGGTTCCTTTTAACTTAGAGACTTCATTAAAGTTTAACAAACTCACAAGACCGAAATGAGTTTCCTCCGTAGGGTGGCCGGGCTCAGCCTTAGAGATAGGGTGAGGAGCTTGGACATTCGGGAGGGACTCGGAGTAGAACCGCTGCTCCTCCGGATCGAAAGGAGTCAGCTGAGGTGGTTTAGGCATCTGGTCAGGATGCCTCCTGGACGCCTCCCTGGGGAGGTGTTTCGGGCATGTCCTGCCGGCAGGAGGCCCCGGGTCGACCCAGGACACGTTGGAGAGGTAACATCTCCAATCTGGTCCGGGAACGCCTTGGGGTCCTGCCGGAGGAACTAGTGGAGTTGGCCGGGGAGAGGACGGTCTGGAGCGCCCTAGTTGGGATGCTGCCCCCGTGACCTGGACCCGGATAAGCGGAGGAAGACGAGACGACGACAAACTCACAAGACTTTCCTATTTAACATATTAAAGAGGCTTTTTGATATCTTTTACGGTTTGTCTAAAATCACAGGTAGAAGTTGAGGTACGACTTGAAACTTTCAGAAAAATTCACAAAAGTTATAATGGGGAAAGATAGGAGCAGTGACCCTCCCTTGCTCCATTTCTGGCGTTGTCCCGAGAGAACCGTAGGTTCGATTGAATTGAGACACACACTGGCTTACAGCTAATGAATATACCTTCGTTTCTTGACTGTACTCCAAACATTGTGGTCGTATGGTTCATTTGTTTGAGCATTTTCAAAAATTAAAAAAATGCTTCCCACCACTCTAAACTGAAAATTCCGCACTCTACCTTTTAAACTTCACATCTTCTGTGAACAGCTCTTTACTACCCTGTTTGGACTACCGAAACAAATTATCCCAAAAAGTAGGTTTTTTTTTTTTGGTCAGCTTTTCAGAATGGGTTTCATTTTATCTGTAACCCCCCAAATTCCACTACCTCCGCTCCGCTCCGGTCCGCCCCCGCCTTCCGCAGCCGCTCGCTTCCGAACTCAATTTTTACTGGTACCCGCTCTACAACGGCTCCGCTCCGGTGCGGAGACCTGAGGTGGGCAAACAAGCATGCGTGGGATTTTCGAGATCTTGCGATACAGTCCGAGCAATAAACGCGGAAGTTAGATCCAAACACCCGTTGTGTGGGAGAAGCATCGGCATGAACTGTTTAATCTGCCCATCATTTGTGTTGAGAGATCAGCAGTGTTTGGATCAACAAAGTGTGACTACTAGGGATGCACATCTCTCTGTGAAAAACGATTCAATATGAATCTAGATGCACAGGTTACGATTCAATTCAAAAACGATATCCTTTTATTACAGACCGATTCGAAACGGTTCAATTCGATTTTTAACTATTCGATACGGTAAGAATAACTAAACAATTAGATTCTCTAGTTTATATTCGTTGAACATATTTTATAAAGAAAATAACACAGTTCTGTTAAAGTGACAGTACCACATTTATTTTCAAATATGTAAAAAAAAAACATGTCTTAAGCATTGTGGCTTTATGGCACTTGTAGGAAAAAGAAAAAAAGAAAAACAGAATACCAAAACCACATGTTACTATTCTTATTTTTAGGCATGGAGATATGTGGTTGGATTGCTGGATGGGAAGTCCAGAGGTAAAAGTAGCAAGACTAGTTATAAAAAAGTGCAAGATTTCAGCCTGAGCTTGTTTTGAACACTAGAGGTAGGTACCAAAGTGCAACATTTTCATGTAAACAAGTCACACACCTATAAACCGTAACCTGATGATTAGCTGATTAGCCTCATCTCAAAATGTAGCCTCAAGCCTGGGGAACCACAGTGGAACGACAAAGCAGCAACATCATTCTTACAATGCTCAATAGTGGCAAGTGCTTCATGCACAAAATTAGAGTAAATAAATATAACTAAAATCAAACTGCTGCTTTTTGACCAGATAAAGGTATTTCTATCCAATCAGAAACTGAAAAATAGCTCACTTCACTTACAGAACGCCTGTGAATGTTCTCTGTCATTTTACTCCTGATCACTGTTCAGTTTTTATTTTTTTTGGAGGGCAGATTTTTCTTCAGGAAAATGAGCTGATCCACATGCTCATGTTTGAGTAGGCTGCGTTTTGTGGAAACAATATCTCCAGCAGTACTGAACACCCGTTCAGAGGCCACACTAGTGGCTGGGATGCAGAGGTATCTTTTAGCAAGAGATGACAGCAGTGGCAAGTCCTGCTGCTCTTTCCACCACTGTAGAGGATTTTCTTCCAGAGGCAATGAAGCACGCTCTCTGTACCTTTTGACTTCTTCACTGGCCTTGTCTCTCACAGATGTAGCCGCCATCCTCACTTCAAAGTCTTTTCCCAACAGCTGGTCCAAGGCAGATATTTTCTTCTTTTTGAAAGGAGGGAGATCATCTAAAAAAAAAAAAAAACAAAAAAAAAAAAACAATTACCATATGTTACTGACTTTGTTTGCCATGCCTCAGTGGTGCTTTACTTTGTAGCTGACATAACCCAATCATATCTTTATTCATCTGATGTTCAGAATGAATTACTCTTGTAAACATATGATTAAACCCGGTCTTTGCATGCTAATTCTCATATTTTATGTGTTTTTGTAATATGGTAATATTTTAGATCTGTAGCATGAGTTTATACTAGCGTCAACCCATTATTGATCACGGTATAAAATATACAAACCTTCTGGCTCATGTTGGGTCTGAGGGGCATCAATCCTGATGCCCAGCTCTCCAAGGGCAGGTTCAGTCTGGCATGGAGTGGTCTGCAGTGGGCCTCCATGGACTGGATCCCCTGTTGCCAAAGCCTAGAAAAATGAAATATAAAAGACAGCTTGTGTACAAAATCAAACAAACATTAACAGTAGTCAGGATAAATCTAATAATACCAAATTATAGATTAATACAATGCACTGTAATGTGTATGTTTAGAACAAAGCTCATTTACAAACCACAAAATACACAATACAGTATTATGTATTTTAACAAAATTAATTAAATGATGAGGTGTTTCCAGGTGTACCTTGTTATGCAGGGATGTAGCTTTTACTGTTATGTTTGCGAACGTCCGCTCAGCATCATGGTCCGTCAGGAAGGGCAGAGACTTGAAGCGGGGATCCAGAGCTGCTGCAGTGTGGAACAGATCCTCCAGGCCAGTGTAGCGCTTCTCCAAGTCCTCTCTGAATGCTTGTTTCATCTCTCTGATTACTACCGAGTCTTCATCTGCTGCTTCAAATGTCTTTTTAAGCTTTTCTCTGACAGGGGAAATCACTGAGAGTGTGGGCCGCTTGTCTTCACACATGCTGATCGTCACAAGTTTGACTGGCACCATCAGCTTCACAATGTCTTCAACATCACAGAAGTCTTTGTCCTTCAGAGTGTTAAGCTCTTCTCCTCTTCTGAGATCCCTGGACATGAGTGCAGCAGAGATGGCAGGCTGTTGTTCGAGTACCCGTTCAAGCATAATCTGGGTACTATTCCACCGGGTGGACACGTCTTGGATGAGTTTGTGGGTAGGCAAAGCAAGTTGTTTCTGTTTGTCTTGTAGAATTTCTGCTGCCCTGACACTGCGGTGAAAAAAGCCAACCACTCTTCTCACCTTTCCCAGCAACCTTGCTACTGTGTCCACTTTGAAGGCTTTCTGTGTGGCCAGATTTATAGTGTGTGCAAAGCACATGAGGTGAGGAGTCATTTCTGCTTCCACGCCAGCTAAAACCATGTTTGTGGCGTTGTCAGTCACCAGGGCTGGCTCTTTATCTAGAATCTTCCAGTCAACACATGCCTGTTTCAGCAGAGCACCTACATTCTTCCCAGTGTGGGATCCTTTGAATGCCCGGGTCTGTAAGACGTAAACATGTAACTCCCAATCCGGAGCGATGTGTTGGGCTGTGATGGTCACATATGACTCCGTCGCACATGACGTCCAAGCATCAGTAGTTATTGCCACTCTTTCTGCTTTTGCCAGTTTTTCTTCAACTTGGCTCTTAACCTGGGCATACAGCGCTGGCATACACGTGTTGGTGATATGATTTCGGGACGGTATCTTATTTCTGGGCTCTAATGTATGAATCAAATCTTGAAATCCTTCCCACTCGACAATATTGTAAGGACATAATCCTTTGGCAATAAAACGTGTTATTGATGCCGTGATTTCCCTAGCGCGTGCTGAGTTTTGACCAAGTCGCTGGAAAAAAGTAGGAATGGCGTTCTCCGTCCTTGCCTGTTTGCCACTGGTTCCTGCACGCTTCTGCTCGGTAAACTCACCGTACTCTTCACCGTGTTTTCTCTTTGCATGCTGGTCCAGATTTGTAGTGCTCCCGGAGTAGGTCAACAAGGCTCTACAAAGTTTACAAATAGCATGGCTTCTGTCGAGCTTCCCCGCCATCTTATAAAACCCAAACACTGTCCAAACCTTGGATTTTTGTTTTCCCGGTGCGTTGAAAATCTGTCTCGGTGTATTATCACGTCTTTCGCCCAGGCTAATGTTGTTGGTCTCCGCCTCCTCCATTTTTCGTGTTGTCATTTGAGCTAACAGCTAGTCACTGGCAGCTATCGTGTTTAGCGGGGTAGCTGCTTCTTTGGGTTTGCGGGGTAGCTTAAGCTCTCGCGATGTTTTAGCGATTCTGGCGCCTGGCCTACGTATGATGCAGCCAAACGACTCAAAATCTCGCGATACCCGATCGATGACTCTAGAACCGATTCAGCTATGAGTTCAGGTCTTTTCCCTATCGATTGAGGAGGCTGCTACCGATGCACCCAAATCTCTCACTTGTTAACAGAATATCCGGTTGCATCGGTTTATCTCTCACAACCCTAGTGACTACTTTGATAGTAGAAACTGTATTTATGGCTTACTTTTGTGCATTTAAAGTTCAGCCGCCATTGATAGTTGTTAAAAGTTGTTAAACCTGTTCATATGAAACAAAAAACGCCTTTTGTTTATCGATTTATTGTGAAAAACGGAAGTTATGCTTGCTCCTTTTCCTGTTGGGCAGTAGTGATTTCTGTCCATTTACTGCGGAGGTGCTCCGGCATCCGGCGAAAATAGGATTGATTCTATTTTTGCCGGACGCCGGAACAGAGGGCGGCGCACTGCGCCGCACTGCCGGAGCACGGCCGCAGTAGTGGAATTGCGCTGATTGACTACAACGGGACCGATTTTGCTCTGGCGTTCGTGTCGGAGCGGAGGTAGTGGAATTTGGGGGTAAGCGTTATCGTTCTTTCACTACAAGCCCCAGAAAAAGGAGAGACCCAGATTTTCTCACATTGAAACATGTTAAAAGAAACTGAGATTTTCTCCTTCGATCGGCTTCAGACAGCTAAAATTTTCTCTTCATAGCTTCAAGACAATTCAAAGTACGCACACAAAAATTCACACAGACAACCACCAAAGCCTTCTGCCACTCACGCTTTTTGAATTTTTCCAATTGGGGCTGCAGTTTTTGAATGGTCGTTTCAGAGGTCTGAAATGACATCTGCGCAGCTGAGCACTGTTAAATGCATGATTTATGAAATCTTGAAACATCAATTTACACCACATCTTTTATAGTACACTAATGATTTTCTCAAATTCATTAGGCTATTTTTTCAGTTTCGAAGTGATGTCTGGTTTTCCTGCAAGTTTACGGTTTTTGTGCTACACGCGTCAGAAAGACGACTGTGCCAGCTTTCCTCCATTTAAACCTCATAAAAAAGGCTCCTGTGGCTGACAGATAGCTGAAATGTTCTCCTCAGAGCTTCTAGAACATTAATGGTAGGCATACACAACTTCACACAAATAACCACCAAAGCTTTCTGCCAGCCATGCTTTTTGAATAGTTCCAATTGGTGCAGCAGTTGTTGAATGGTGATGAGACATTCAGAGCTCTGACATGGCATCTGAGCAGGCTGAGCTCTGTTAACTGCATGATTCATGAAATCTTGAATCAAAAATTTCCACCGGCCACATATTTATAGTACACTAATGATATTCTCAAACACGTTAGGTTATTTTGTCCGCTTCGAAGTGATGTCTTCGGTTTTCCTGTAAGTTTCGCAGTTTTTGTGCTACACGCGTCAGACAGAGGGCCGTACCAGCTTTCCTCCATTTAAACCTCTTATAAAAAAGGCACCTGTGGCCAACAGACAGCTGAAATGTTCTTCTAATATCTTCTAGAACATTTGTGGTAAGCACACAAGACTCCACACACATGACCATCAAAGCCTTCTGCCACTCACGCTTTTTGAATTTTTCGAATCGGTGCAGTACTTTTCAAATGGTGATGAGAAGTTTGACTGGTCCAATTTCACTTCTGAAGGACATATTTAAAGGCTTCCCTCATTAATATGAGTACAGCTGCATGTCTCCAACAGCTGGGGGGAAAGGCGGGAAAACAGTGCTGCTCTCTGATTGGCTGAGAATGTTCAACCCTTTTCTGTCCAAGCAGGATCGAGCACCCACACATATGATACATCAAATCGACCGGCTTGGACTCAGGAATCTTGTATTAAATTTTAAACGCGTTATCTGTTAACATGGTAACAAGCTTAGCAACAACATTTCATACATTTTAGACACTACTGTATCAAAGTAATTTAACATACGAACATTATTTAAATTTTAAAAAGGTCATGGCACACCGAACATGAGTATATTGAAGTAGATTTTGGTCATCTGTTACCATGGTAACAAAAGTGCATAAGTATGTCCCCAAACAAGTCTCATTTAAATGAATGTGAAAAGCCTAATATTGAGCCTATAACATGCTGCTGTTGCTTATCTTTCTGAGCTCTATACACTTAAAACTAGCAGCATAGCTGACATTTTAACACTAGTCAGAAGGCAGGAACCGCCCCCTCTTCCTTCGCTGCTCTCTGATTGGCTGAGAGTTTTCAATCGTCTTCTGCCTAAAAGGAAATATGCATCCACACATATGATACATCAAAAAAACCTGCTTGGTCCCAGGAGTATTGTATTTACTTGATATTGTGTTCTGCATTACCGTGGCAACGTGCTTAGCAACAACATTTAATAACATTTTAGACACAGCTGTATCAACATGCTTTAATATAGAAATGTTATTCAAAGTTTAAAAGAGTCATGTGGCATTGTACATTGCTTTATTAAAGCAGATTCCTGTCATCTGTTACCAGAAACTGTCATGTGTTACAAGGAACTACAAATCACTTTAACCAAGTCTCATAGGAATGAATATAAAAAGCCGAATATTGAGCCAATAACAGACTCCTGTTTTTGATCTTTTTGAACTATCTGTACTTAAAGGAGCATGGGGCAGGATGAAGAAACGAAACTCATTAGCGACGCACTCGGCGCTGTGAGTAACTGCAGCCCAGCACGAGAGCGCGCACAAACTCTTCACTAGAAAAAAAAACGTTTCAGTGATGTACGGCCAGAGCGCGGCTCGAACAAGGCACCGTGTTGAGCGATGAAGTAAGTAAGATTGTTACTTTAGTCTAATATTTGTAAAATTCCATGACAACATTAGCATTTTAATTTAGCCATGACACTTGTGATGTAAAGCAAGTGCTCCTTCCTATGAAATATTCATAAGCCAGTTTTGTGACTGGCGAGCAAGACAGTAACATGATGCTACTTTATCAGCATAAGGCTTTGTGGCTGCAGGTGATTTCTGATGTTTTTAGACCAGTTACAGTTATTATTTTGCACTAAGCTTACTAACAAGCTAATGTTATTGTTTATGCATCATGTAAGAACATCCAATTTCAAGTCACTGACATCATTTGTGAAACCAATTTCATTACAGGACAGGCATCACAACAATGTAAATAAGAACATAAATATCAATGTTTAGTTCAAAAATGCATCAAAATAAAATCATAATATCAACAAGACCTACAGGGTAATACAGTCATTTTTCCATTACTGTCATTGATTTTCAGGAATTCACATTGGAAGGAGTGATGGAAGACAGTTCAGATGGAGTGTGCCCGAGCCTGCCACAGACTTTGATGTGTCATGGAAAAGTTTGAGACCAGGGGCTAAAGGAAAGGGGAGAGGAAAAGGTCGCTCCGAGGGTCGGGGAAGGACACGCTCAAGGGGTGAGGGCAGCAGGTTGAGGTCCAGAGCTCCTTCAAGAAGACCAGGGCGCCGGGGTAGGCAGCGAAACAGCTTTCAGAGAAGAGGGCCGAGACCAGCTTGCACAGCTGAGAGCTGCCAGTATAGCTGAGATGCAGGTTGGTTGTAGCCATTTGTGCAAAAAAATAAAATAAAATAAAATAATAGAGAGATGCCAAAAACGAAAACATCACTCACTGGAGATATGAATCTAGTCATGTAAACATATGCTCTTTAATTTCTAGACAGCTTTACAACACCTGAGGCAGGAGGAGATAATATTCTCGAGAGAGTGGTAACCCGTTTTCCAGGGGTGATGCTGGATATCCTGGAGTTTCGGCAAGAGACGCCAGGACACCGTCTTCCTGACTGAGGGCACCCTAACCCAAAAATCCAAACCGTTTATCTACAACTACAGTAGTTCCAAAACGGCACAATACCTCAAAATAACTTTCGCTGAAGACAGCATTTTCACCCAAAAATAAACAAACAGTTTGTGCAATATATTTATTTTTATTTATGTACAAAAAAGTTCTGTTATTTGCATTTGTACATAGTATTTTTTCTTAATTTCTAATAAATCTGTGTGCATGAAAGAAGTCATTCCTGTCTTTTGATGCTTCACGTAGCTGGGGCCTTTATGGAGAGAGAGCAGCAGCATTAGATCATACATAGATTACATGAGAATGCAATTCTGGAAACTCTCCAGTTCTGAAGTTGACCTGTAAAAAAAACAAAAGCTACAACTTTATAGATTATTAGGAATCACACTTTTGATTGCCTTTTCACCCACAATTGTCATTTCTATATGTAAATTGTCAGCTTTGATATTGACACTTTAGCTTTTTTGCTTATGAAAATGTTATTAATATACCTAAAGGTCAGATTGGTGACATCCTTCAACCAGCGTCTGTTGAACATGATTCGTTGAAGAGCCTCGTGTGGTGGAGATCATGGTACCATGAGCTCTTTATCACTGGTTGTTGCATCAAGTGGTCCATGGTCACATTTGCCACGGGTCCATTCATGCTTCCCTGTGACATGGTGAAGCACACCCACCCACATGTCCTAACAGAAAAAATAAGTTTTATTTGAAAACTTTACATGTGACAGAAGCGCTCACCAACAGAAACACGAGAGCTGGCACTATTATGAAAAGAAAGGAAATTATGTCAATGTGCATTATTGTCTTGTTGTCCAAAAGATGTCACAATACTTATATTAAACATATCACGATGTTGTGCTTTCTGGCAAATGTACCAAAATTGGTTGAAGATGTCATTCAGCCACACAAGTAGGATGGAAATTCCCTTTAGGATCCCAGCCTGTGAACAAGGATAAAACAACAATTCCATCTTTTAGTTCTTTTTAAAACATAGAAGGGTTTTATTTACCTGCAACGTTTTGTTTGCGGCTGCAAACTTCGTCAGCCTGACAAAATTTTCATAACAGTTCTATTCTGTTATGAAAACAATAAATAAAAGTAGAATTAATATATTGTTTTAAGACTTTGGAGTTTAAAAAAAGAGTGTAGATAAGAAGACATTGCAACTCACACACAGTTGAGTAAGTTGTTTGCTTTGTCCTCATCAATTTGGACTGCATCTGTAGCTAGATCCA